CAATCTGGATCCACTGCACCCTGCGCAGCTGGGATGTTCGTATTGTCATGTCACATGTCGACACTCACCTTCTGGAGGCCAAGTACGGAGAGTTCGCTCGGTCTTTCGTCGACTCCTTTGCTGTTAGCCTGCATCACGACGACCATCCTCAGATTCAGATCGGAGTCCACAAGGGCTTCGGCATCTCCGTCGAGTCGATGCGTATCCACACCACCTACCGCTTCATCAGCGCCGACGAGATGACCTACCTCGACATCACCGAAGTGGAAGACACGGTCTTTAACCTTTGCGGTCCGGTACCCGGCACCGCTGGTCCTTCCAGCCGCGACCAATGGCGGTTCTACAATGTCGAGCCCAAGCGTTCACCCGCAGACGTTCGCGCGTCAGAGGAACGCGGCATGCCCACATTCTGGTACGAGGCATGCGTCCGCTCCGTCGTAGCCGAGAAGGAGATGGCGGCCAACGCGACCATGGCTCTGGGCGAGAAGGCTCCCTGGAACCTCAACCGTCTGGCCGACCTCGGCGTCGTGGCTAACATCGTCAAGCCAGTCCTGCGCATGGTGCAGCTGATGGACTCTGTGGGCGCATATAACGACAACTACCAGCGCGAGCTGGAGCAAAATCTCCCCCAGCCCAACGCCACGGAGGTCCCAGGAGCCAACTATGTCACTCACGAGAGCCCAGTGCTCGCTCTTATCCGCCGCAACGACTCGCCTGCCGCCACCCACACCTCCCGGACCAGCTCCGTTGCCTCCCGCGGCCGCATCCCCATCGCCACTCCCGCCACAGATCTCCTGCCGATCTTTCCGCCTGGCACTGTCGTCCACCGGGATCCTAAGTATGGATACGCCACAACTCCGGTGAAGGCCACTTCGCCCGGACGCCGTGGTACTGCTACTATCCCTGCTATCCCTTTCTCTGCCGCTGCCGCCGCCGCTGCTGTTCTTCCCGGATGGAACGCACAGAACGCACCCCCTGCCACGCCCAGCCGCAATGACCAGAACGTCATCAGGGCTTTTGCACCTGCTTCTGCTGGTGTGACCACCCCCAATGCTGGAGGAGCAGGAGGAGGAGCAGGAGGATTCTCTGTCGCCGGACAAAGAGATGCTTCCGCCAATCGACAGCAAGGACATCAGCAGCCTTCTAGCACTGGCTCTGATGCCTCGCGCGGTCCGATTCCGAGTCACAAGCCCCCATCCCAGTTTTGGTGAGGGGTGTGCTGTGATGCGAGTGATGTATGGATGGATGTGGCATGAAGAGTCAACTGACGGGTGCCGTGTAGATGGACCTGGACTTGAGGACCGCTCGAGGTAACGGTTCTCGATCACTGATATCTCATCTATCACGATCACGCCTGTGTTGCTATGGAGGATTCAGGTGATGGATGTCATGATGGATGGGATGAGGAATGACGTCCTGGATACCATACAGCGATGAGGTGCTGGATACCAGTTTGCTAATAGTCAGCGAGAAAGCAGTTAGCGTGATAGGAAAGCTAGCGAAAAGTTGACTCTCGTCCATGAGACTCTGAAATGCCCCGTGTGATGATCGTGCCGCTTGTCCGTCACTCTACTTTACTTCTTTGTGGCTTGTCCGTCTTCCTCTTCCTCAGTATCCCTTGGGCAAGATTGCAAGTTGTCATTGACCTGACGAGAGCGGTAGAAGTTGTAACCATCCTCTGACATGAAGTAGAAAAGGAGGGACTAGCAAACCCATGAAGCTGTAAAAATGACAAAATGAAGGTCAGCTTCTGACAGCGAGCATTTACTAGGTATTGTCGTGGACGACGCTGGGCTCGAACCGCGCCAACCGATGTTGATCGATTTTATCACCTCTGTGATAACCCCGTGCATTTACCATTGTACCACCCGCTGCTCAGAAATTGTACTGGCAGAGGGAACATTGTTCACTGTATACTGACGAGCCAACTTTGTCGACTGGTCGCCACTTCGGTACATTCACACTTACGTAGAAGTGGCGAGAGAGCTCTACTGGTAAGGGGGCAATGTTTGTGTTCCACCGGGCGCCCCTGTTACTATGTTTGAGGCAGCTGTTATGGAGCAAAGTAAAGGGCTTGGTGTTCTGCGGCGGGTGTGTGTTTGCAAGGAGGCAAATTCCACAGGTCTTGATTTGCGGCTGCCATCATGGATCTGCTGCAAGGCGCCCAGGTCTAACCTTCCAGTTCAAATGTCATCAGGTGAAGTACCGTGTCCTCCTAGCGGGACCTGTGTCTTCCTATGTTTCCAGCCGAACAGCTGAACTTCCTCGGGCTTCTAATCACATCAATAAATACTCACTTCCAGATTTGTCCATCTCCAACTCACGTTCATCCATCAAACGAGAACGACAGGAATTGACTGCGACACCGATCGTTTTGCATATTTGACACATCTATTAACTCACCGCCAAGCATCGTCTTCATATACCCTCCCAACAGTATCGACCATGCCGCTGGCCTAGTTCGCCCTGTTGGCCAAGATCCAGGCCTTCATTCAACAAGAGCTACTCGGTCGTATACCAATTCCATCCATGGCTGCCGCTCACCAGGATCAGTCGGACAGCGACGCCATACCGGAGCAGCACAACAGCAAGCTCAGTGAGATCCCAAAGGCAACCAAATGCAAGTTCATGAAGGACGGGAATATGGCACTCATCAAGCAGACCGAAAGCCTTCTTCTAGATATCGCGCACCAAGTCAGCAGAATGCGCGACGACCGCAATTGGGAATTCCAGACATCGTACGCCTGGAACTCGGACCTCATCCGATTCTCGCCCTATCTGAGTTACGACAACTGCCCGCGGCACAAGAACTGTCCTGAAACCATCCATCCAAGAATACGGATAAAGGTCGTCAACGTGGATATTGTCGATGTCGCTGTCGATTATGTTTTATGGTGCTCGCAGCCAATCTGTACGGGGGGCTGCCCAGAGGAACAACGGGCACTGGACTCATTCAACATGTCAGTGCCGCCTGTCATGATCACTCTCGACACCATCGACAGTGAACACCACCACGATGACACCAACGGCACCAAACCCGACTGCCTGCACGGCTCGTTCCTTCAGAGAGAATCGCTCCTCGTCCGAACCAGTCTCTCACTCAGCTCCCAAGGCCGTGTCCCACACCACCCGAAACCTCACCGGGACGCCTCCCCTGACAAAGAGGCACTCTATCACCCCAACGTCCTAGTAATCCGCTATGATGTAACCGGTCCATCAACCAACAGCCGCGACCCGACCGATTGGGAGATCGCTCGCAAGTACCGCCACATCTCAGCGATCACGATGGCAACTCCAATGCCCGACGCCGACTTCGCCTACAAAAGACCGTACCTGAAGCCGATTCAGCGCTTTCCTGACGACGACTACCGCAATCTGCTCAAGGCCCGCATGCGGCTCTCGCTTCGTATCGCGGCAACGCACGGCCACCCCAATCTGCTGCTCGGAGTTCTCGGCAACCCCGCCCGACCGGCGTTTACACCGGCCGTGGACATAGCCCGGTGCTGGTTGGAGGTTCTGAAGGAGAGCGAATTCTGGAGTGATGAAAATGGTGGGTGTTGGTGGAGGAATGTTGTCGTCGCCGTACATGACCCTAACGATGAGGGTTGGTTCGATACCTTCTACGACGTGATGAATGGAGTGTTTGTCTGAGTTTTGTGCCCGGAAGTGTTTAGGAAGGCGGGAAATGGGTAAGTGTCTCCTGGTGCTGGACCAGGAAGCCTAGGATATTCTCACTGGGATATGGCAATGGGCTATGGGGTTTTCGCTTTACTTCTTGTATGGTTGTCGATATATGTTGGTAACCGAGAAGCGTTGTTCTTCACATTGGTTGGGTAGTGGGAGAGGAGACATGGCAGCGACTCGCGATAGAGCTTACAATACATCAACGACATGCCATTAATAAGTCGTCTCGATTTTACTTCTCGACTTTGCGCACAGTCCTGACGGACAACTGGAACCCAACCCCCAATAGCCCACCAGACTGAGTGCATGTTTTATTTGTTCCTACCAATTATTTCAAACATTTCCATCCTCCGAATCACCAAATATGGGAGTCATCCTCCATCCCAGACTATCCCGGAGCATCGCGACCCATCCATTCTCCCACACCGAGCCAGGCACATCTTTACATATCACCATCACAGCCACCGTCACAACCACTATTACAACCACCATCGCAACCACCACCAAAACCACCGTCATAGCTACTATCACAACCAAAATCACAACCACCGTCACAACCACAACCACCACCATACGTCACGCCCCACTCCATCAACCAGCGACTCACCTCTAAGACCAGGTACTTCAAAAACCTAGAAATCAATAACCTTCCGTAGTATAGCGCTTAGTATACAAGCTTGTCAAGACCCCGCTATCCGCAGCTGGAGCCAAACAACTATCACCCTGGACCCGGATTCAATTTTCCGGCGGGAGAGGTTTGCTTCGTTTTCACCTTTCTGCACTAGCTTCGGCTAACATGATTGGATCGTAAGAGACAATTACTGGGTTAGAGAGGAGAGAGGTATAAGAATCCGCGTCGCTCCGCCGCAGTTGTTTCGAGACTAACGCGTCGTGGAAGAGAAGAACAGGGGTTAGGGTTAGGGTTGGCCCCTGAGCATTTGTAAACAAAAGGACTTTTAAGTGTGAACTCTGACCTGCGAGAGGGAACTCCTGGCAGGGGTGACCGGGGCAAGATCATTATCTGTCCGCATAACCTCAAGGTCCCCTAGCAACAAAAAACCCGTCAGCCCTATCCCACTGATCCAAAGCAGCCTTTCCTCCCCTCGGTGTTTCTATTGCTCTTATCCAAGTTCTTTAAGGCATTCTTGCTCCAGCCTAAGGTACCTACTGCCTCTGCCTTCCAGGTTTGTTCACCAGTTATGCCTCATAACACAACGACTCGCTCAGATATGCTAATGTACGACAGCGCCCTTCCCATCAAAATCATGACTCACAGTCTACGACAGGTGTTCCATCCTCACCTGTAAAATAACAAATCTTCCGTAGTATAGTGGGTAGTATATGAGCTTGTCAATATATCCGCCCATAGGGTTGGAGCATTTAAATATTCGCTCGGGACCCGGGTTCAATTCCCGGCGGGAGAGGTCCGTTTTCTTTTTTTTTCGCTTTGGTTGAAAGTGTTTGGACAAGAGCGACGAGCTCAGCTTTTGCAGAATTAGTTGAGCCCCGTTGTGGAGCGATGGTACGCTACGCGAAGGGGTTTTGGGGTTTAAGGTACGTCTCTCGCGAGCAAAGGGTGTAAACATCAAGCGATTGCATTGCAGCCATGGTTAAGATCTTCATGTTGCTGCTTGTAACGTCGGCATAGGATAAGTGAAGCAGGAAGTGTAAGGTCATGATGGCAGAATAATCATTGCACGTGATGACAATCATAATCACAATAATCACATACTACCTAGTTAGTGCCGCAGCAATTGGCACGGCCAAGCAAGTAGAAGGTCGATTTGTGCAAGAAACACCTGACAATATCCGACCGCTATTGCAAGTTCAAATATCCTTTTCCATTCCCTGTATCAAACTCAAAGAAAAGCGCTCATCGAAAGCTTGTTCAGCTATGTTTATTTGTACACATTCATTCACTTTCATCAACAACCACCACCAGGTATTCCTCCCCAATCCCCTGTGTCATCCTGCCTCTTACTCAACCCTAAGGACCCGAGGACCCCTCTTCTTGCCACCACCGCTCTTCTTCTTCTTGTGGCCCCTGTCAAACGCGGCGGCCGCCGCGTGGTCGCGGTCGAAGTTGTCGAGGTCCTTGACCTTGTAGATCCGGATGATCCAGTTCTCGCTCGTGAACGCCTCCTCGAGCGTGTTGAGCGTGGGCCCCACCTCGGGCAGCTTGACGCCGCGGACGCGGTCCTGCGCCTGGCCGGGGGGGAAGAGGGCGTTGTAGTTGTAGTAGGACATCTTGTACCTGTAGTCACGATGTTAGTAAGATGGGGGTTGATGATGGAGTGGGGGAAGGAAGGAAGGAGAAAACATACATCAAGCTGTCCTTCATCGTCTGCGACGCCTGGTCATCGACGCGGTACTCGCCGCGGGGCGTGAAGTAGTCCCGCTCGCGGATCTCGTCGGGCCAGATACCCTCGGCGATGCGCACCATCCACAGGAACTTGTTGATGTCGTCGCCCGAGTAGCCGAGCAGGCCGCCGAACACGATGAGCACGTAGTCGACCTCGTGCTGGCGCATGATGGGGTAGCTGACCTCCTCGCGGGAGCTCATGGCCTTGCCGACGGTGGCGATGTGCGTGTTGTTCCACGTGTTGTTGTCCACGAGCGTGGGGCGGTCGGCCATGCCGCCGATTTGGTAGCCGTAGTCCCACCACGACATGATCTTGGCGTCGTCCTTGGTGTTCTGGCGCAGCCACTGGTAGGCCTCGCGGTAGTCGTCGATGATGTGCTGGCTGCCGTCGGGCATGCGGGACGCCAAGACGACCGAGGGCGAGGAGTAGGCGTTGGACGTGACCCAGGTGCAGTGCAGGACGAAGAGGAGGAGGTAGACTGTCATGGCGGTGACGACGAGGCTCTTGGAGAGGAAGCTGTAGATGCCGACCACGGGCTTGCTGGTGGACTTGAGCCCGCCCTTGGTAGCCTTCTTGGTGGCGGTGACGTCGGCGCCTTCGACGAGTACATGGTCTTCCGGCTTAGGAGACTTGAGGTTGAGGTAGTTATTGAGCAGCTGCGAAACAGCCAGAGCGGCGGCCACGCAGACGACGGGGGTCAGGGTCAGCATCAAGCGGACCATGACACCGGCGAAGTAGCTGCCGAGGACGGCGTACACCACAATGAAGACGTGCTCATCTGCGAGCTCCTGGAAGCAGAGGTACACGCCAGCGGGGAACAGCCAGATGAGCATGTTCAGATCGAAGAAGAAGGCAGGCCAGGCGGTAGGCTGATGCTCGGACACAGAGGCAATGATCGGAATGTGGATCTTGGCGTAGGCGGTATCCCAGAGAGAGTAAAACCGTCCACCCCACGGGGCGATGAGGCCGGCGGTCGTCAGGATAATGAGACCAGCGAGTGCAACGGTGAAGATCCCGACGGCAGTGAACCACAGGAGACGCGTGAAATGGCGATCGCTGGGGAGAGCGGCTCGCACATAGTAAAAGAAGGCCAGGACCTGGAGGAAGCCGAAGATACCTTTGCGAGGATTAGCAACTTTGTATATTCAGCCAGTAGCATGTGCGAGCGAGTTGACTTACCGAGAGCAGGCATGTGCTCGCTGGTCTTGACGGGCAAGAAACCGACGAAGGGGATCTGCATACTCATGAGGGTTCCCAGGGCATACCACGAGGTGTAGGCGACATACAGCCTGGTGCTATAACGTTGCATGCAAATGAGCACAAACGCATGCAGAGGCAACAAGTTCGTGATGAACGCATATCCACCCCACGAGGCCACCATGTAGCCGTAGGACAGCGCGCAGAAGGCTCCCCAGAGCATCGAGCCGAGCTTCAGCGCCTTGATCCAGAGGTAGAAGGTGAAGACCAGTAGGAAGATGGCGATGGCCTCGTTGTCATAGCTTCCGGCAACTGAGCGGGAGATGTAACCGGGGGCGATGCCCATGAAGATGGCGGCCAGAAGGCCGGCCGACTCGTTGGTGGTCATCTCATTGGTGAGGAGGTATGCGGCGAAGGCTGTCAGGCCGGAACAGGCGGGGGCGAGGAGGACGCAGATGTTGCGGATGTCGACGGGGATTGTGAGGGCGCGCAGGGCGTGGTAGATGACGCCGCTGGTAACCATGAGGCCTGGGTAGAGGGTGCCTCCGGTGACGCGGCCCAGGGGGTGCCATGTTCGGTCGTCGAACCAGTCCCAGAAGTTGTAGAAGCCGTGTGAGACCAGGTACTTTGTTGCTCTGAAGTTGAACCACGGATCGACTGGAGGAGTGTTAGTAGGTTACTCTTGTATATACTGTCGGAGGATGCAGCGCGATCGGTCGGTGCGAGGTTCGTGAGGGGAGACTGACATTCGTGGATGATGCTTTCGAAACCTGGACAAGACGAGTGGTGTTAGCAAGCTGCCTCCGCATTCCATAGGGCTGAGCTATGAGCAATTGATGAATCGCCGACCAGACCAGATCCATCAATTGACTTTGTCCCATCGCAGGGCGAACTCACGAATCACAGAAAACAGACGGCTCGCGACGGCAGCGCCAGCGATAACGAGGAGAATGACCACTCGCAGCAGCGTGCGCGAGCTCTTTCCCCTACCGCCGCTGGCGAGGAGATCGAGGGACGAACTGCTCGTAGCCGACATGTTGGGCAACAAAGTCGGTTAGAGAGTGTGGAATTGCAGAAATGCAATGAGGGGCGTAAGAGGAATCGTTGCGGAAGGGAAGATCGATCTATCTCATCACCACTTTCTTCGATCGAAACGAAGCCACGACACTTTTGGAGAGGACAGTTTGGAGCTTCCGACCTTCAGACGGCGCTAGCGCCCTTCTTGGCACGGAGTGATGCAGGCACGCCTGGGGTCGTTGTGGGGTAGAGTCAAGCCACATGAGGGACGTGCACCGCCTCATCTGGACCGTGCGGCGTGGTTAACGTGTGGCGCATATCAGTGGCCGCAGCCAGGGCAGGTTGAAAGTAAGGGACATAAAGAGGAACAAAGATAAACATACGAGTTGTGATATCTCAGTGATCTAGCAAGGCGCCAGCTATAGTACAGTCGATCTCGACCTAGACGCCTTGTCTAACCCCTATTCATGCTCCTTGTACAATATCACGCTTGTTTACCCGCAAACATCGTCCGCCGTTGCTGTGCACGGCTCCGGCTATGTTATGTTTTATATCCTCACTATCCTTCATCACCATAGCCAACGCGTAGAAATGCTGTAAAAGTACAATGCCGCCCCCTTCCCTGGCACCCCAGTTCACAACTAGGAACCCCGTCGACAAAGCCAGAAGCAAAGCAGACAGACGAGCTGTAGCTGCATGCTAGATACCGCCATTGTAGAAATACATGGGCCAGGAGGATCTTCATCCACAACCAAGCCCAACCATGCAGGGTCATCTCGATGTTCTCAAGCCGCAATAGGCGCCACACCAGATTTCATGTCAGCACCAGCCGTCCTGCTCTCAATGAAGCCCGGCCTCCACTTGGTCAGATACTTCGACGCCATTGGTCGTGCATCCTCATCTATTACAATGTCAGCATCCACTCTCGCGCTCGCATCACGGTGTCAAACTTACACTCAACCCAGATCTCCCCCACAGTATCAAGCGCAATCTCCCTCGCCGGCGGCCTCATCATAACGAGATACAGCAGACTCGTAACCGCCAGACTAACCGTAGCCGGATCACGACATAGGTCCTTCACCCGCCCCAGCAGTTCCCGACCCAGCTCGGGAATCTCCGCCAGAAACCTCGTAAGCACCTTGTCCTGCGGCGTCAGATACGGCAGAAATCCATCGAGCAGCTTCACCGCCCAGCGCTCGTAGTGCAGGGACCGGTCAGACTCGGGCTGCGTCTTCTTCGCCAGCTGGTCGGCGTACCACTCCTCGCAGAGCCAGGCGACGGCCACGTCTATCCGGCGGCGGAAGTCCTCCATCACGTAGCGGAAGAGGTTCTCGCGGATCGAGTTGGAGAGGGAGAGGTTGGGCTTGTGGACGAGGGAGGAGGATTCTTCTTCTTTGACCTGGGAGGAGTTGGCGTCTTCGAGACCGGCCGTGCCGCGGGTTGCGATCCGGATGATGACGGTGAGCCAGGAGTCGCGGTCGAAGGAAGAGGCGGCTAGCCGGTTGATGCCCGATTTGTGCTTGCGGGAGGTGTCGTCTAGTGTTGCGAGGGGTATGAAGACGCGGTTGACGGCAACTTGGCTTATTTGGTTGGCCAGGTCCGGGTTGAGGAGGGGTGGTGGTGGGAGTTTGAATGTGCCGAGAGTTGCTAAAGCGTTGACCGTCTCAGGCTCTTGAACGGGAGGGACATCTGCTGGTGCGTTGTCCAGCTTGTTGAGGATCTGCTCTGTGTCTTCGGCGGCATAGAAGTCTGGTTCGTACTCGTCTTCGTCTTCTTCGACGTCGAGCGGGGATGTTTCTGCGTTCAGTGGCGGTGCTTGAACTGCAGGAGCAGTGGCCAGCTCCATC